GCAACAGTGTGTGAAAACCTTGTGAAGACTTACAGAAAACGTTTGACCTGTGTCATTGCCAACAAAGGGTATATAACACAGTATTGAGAAACTTTTGTTATTGACCAAATACTTATTTTCCACCATAATTTGCAAATAAATTCATTAAAAATCCTACAATGTGATTTTCTGGATTTTTTTTCCTCATTTTGCCTGTCATAGTTGACGTGTACCTATGATGAAAATTACAGGCCTCTCTCATCTTTTTAAGTGGGAGAACTTGCACAATTTGTGGCTGACTAAATACTTTTTTTCCCCACTGTATGGTATGTAACTGTTAGTTAGCTAGTTAAATCATTCTAATGTATCCTGACAATATAACCGGTCATTTTGTAGGCCTAACATTGTTTTTTCTTATACGTTTCAAGGTACACAAAAGAGCCGATGGGAGTGAACACCCTCGTAACAATGCTGGCAAAGTACTGCAAAATAGCTGGCTCGTCGCAGATTTACATAAACCACTGCCTCCGAACCACCATGATCCAGAAACAGTCGGATACTTGACTAAAGGCACGAGAGCACAGATTCGCAACCTCTCTTCAAAGTTACTGGAGGCCAAATCTGAAAGCGGTGGAGCACTATTCTCTCTGACAACACAGCAGCAGCTCCCCCAGCTAAAAGAACGGCATCCATTTCCAGCAGCGTGGAGCCAACAACAAAAGATAACATGGGACAATGTTTTAATTCATGCACAATAAATGGCAACATTCAGATCAACATTACAAAATAATTGGCATGCTCAGTTTTTGCATACATTTTTGCATACATTTAATGGTTATGTTGCATAGCAATGAGACTTTTGTCCGGAGTACTTTTTCTGGTGGAATGTATTTATTAAAGCAACATTTTCAATTTAGATGTGTAGTGACTTGCCTTACTGTGTTGGCAGCCAGTTTATAAAGCAATAAGGAAACTTGGGGGTTAGTGGTATATGGCCTATATACCACGGCTAAGGGCTGTATCCAGGCACACCGCGTTGCGGCGTGGATAAGAACAACCCTTAGCTTTGGTATATAGACCATATACACCCCTGGGCCTTATTGCTTAAATAGAAGCTCAGCGCTATATCAATCACAAAGGCCAATACTGGAGCCAGTTCCAAATGTTCAACCATAAACAGTCATAACATTTTGTGCATCGTTATCATAATTGGTCATGGGAACATGTCCATCTAACTACAGTCATGGTCAAAAGTTTTGAGAATGGACACAAGTATCGGTCTTCACAAAGTTCGCTGCTTCAGTGTTATGAGATATTTTTGTCAGATGTTACTATGGTATACTGAAGTATAATTACAAGCATTCCATAAGTGTCAAAGGCTTTTATTGACAATTGCATTAAAGTTAATGCAAAGAGTCAATATTTGCAGTGTTGACCCTTCTTTTTCAAGACCTCTGCAATCCGCCCTGGCATGCTGTCAATTAACTTCTGGGCCACATCCTGACTGATGGCAGCCCATTCTTGCATAATCAATGCTTGGAGTTTGTCAGAATTTGTGGGTTTTTGTTTGTCCACCCGCCTCTTGAGGATCGACCACAAGTTCTCAATGGGATTAAGGTCTGGGGAGTTTCCTGGCCATGGACCCAAAATGTTGATGTTTTGTTCCCTGAGCCACTTAGTTATCACTTTTGCCTAATGGCAAGGTCGTCACCAAACTGTTCTTGGATGGTTGGGAGAAGTTGCTCTCGGAGGATGTGTTGGTACCATTCTTTATTCAGGGCTGTGTTCTTAGGCAAAATTGTGAGTGAGCCCACTCCCTTGGCTGAGAAGCAACCCCACACATGAATGGTCTCAGGATGCTTTACTGTTGGCATGACACAGGACTGATAATAGCGCTCACCTTGTCTTCTCTGGACAAGCTTTTTTCAGGATGCCCCAAACAATCGGAAAGGGGATTCATCAGAGAAAATGACTTTACCCCAGTCCTCAGCAGTCCAATCCCTGTACCTTTTGCAGAATATCAGTCTGTCCCTGATGTTTTTCCTGGAGAGAAGTGGCTTCCTCGCTGCCCTTCTTGACACCAGGCCATCCTCCAAAAGTCTTCGCCTCACTGTGCGTGCAGATCCACTCACACCTGCCTGCTGCCATTCCTGAGCAAGCTCTGCACTGGTGGTGCCCCGATCCCGCAGCTGAATCAACTTTAGGAGACGGTCCTGGCGCTTGCTGGAGTTTCTTGGGCACCCTGAAGCCTTCTTCACAACGATTGAACCTCGCTCCTTGAAGTTCTTGATGATCCGATAAATGGTTGATTTAGGTGCAATCTTACTAGCAGCAATATCCTTGCCTGTGAAGCCCTTTTTGTGCAAAGCAATGATGACGGCACGTGTTTCCTTGCAGGTAACCATGGTTAACAGAGGAAGAACAATGATTTCAAGCACCACCCTCCTTTTAAAGCTTCCAGTCTGTTATTCTAACTCAATCAGCATGACAGAGTGATCTCCAGCCTTGTCCTCGTCAACACTCTCACCTGTGTTAACGAGAGAATCACTGACATGATGTCAGCTGGTCCTTTTGTGGGAGGGCTGAAATGCAGTGGAAATGTTTTTTTGGGATTAAGTTAATTTTCTTGATAAAGAGGGACTTTGCAATTAATTGCAATTCATCTGATCACTCTTCATGACATTCTGGAGTATATGCACATTTCCATCATAAAAACTGAGGCAGCAAACTTTGTGTAAATTAATATTTGTGTCATTCTCAAAACTTTTGATTAATATGGAGTTGGTCTCCCCTTTGCTGCTATAACTTCCTCCACTCTTCTGGAAGGCTTTCCACTAGATGTTCGAACATTGCTACGGGGACTTGCTTCCATTCAGCCACGAGCATTAGTTGAAGTCAGGCACTGATGTTGGGTGATTAGGCCTGGCTCTCAGTCGGCTTTCCAATTCATAGCAAAGGTGTTAGATGGAGTTCTGTGCAGGCCAGTCAAGTTCTTCCACACCGATCTCGACAAACCATTTCTGTATGGACCTCGCTTTGTGCACGGAGGCATTGTCATGCTGAAAAAGGAAAAGGCCTTCCCCAAACTCTTGCCACAAAGTTGGAAGCACAGAATTGTCTCGAATGTCATTGTATGCTGTAGCCTTAAGGTTTCCCTACACTGGAAATAAAGGGCCTAGGCTGAACCATTATTCCTCCTCCAACAAATTTTACACTTGGCCCTATGCATTCTGGTAGGTAGCGTTCTCCTGGCATCCACCAAATCCGGATTTGTCCGTTGGACAGCCAGATGGTGAAGTGTGATTCATCACTCCAGAGAACCCGTTTCCACTGCTCCAGAGTCCAATGGCGGCGAGCTTTACACCACTGCAGCCGACGCTTGGCATTGCGAATGGTGATCTTAGGCTTGTGTGAGGCTGCTCGGCCATGGAAACCCATTTCATGAAGGCAGTTTGGAACTCAGTAGTGAGTTTTGCAACTGAGGACAGACAATTTTTACACGCTACACGCTTCAGCACTAGGCGGTCCCGTTCTGTGAACTTGTGTGGCCTACCACTTCTCGGCTGAGCCGTTGTTGCTCCTAGACATTTCCACTTCACAATAACAGCACTTACAGTTGACTGGGGCAGCTCTAGCAGGGCAGAAATTTGACGAACTGGCTGGTTGGAGAGGTGGCATCCTATGACTGTGCCACTTTGAAAGTTACTGAGCTCTTCAGTAAGGCCATGTACTGCCAATGTTTGTCTATGGAGATTGCATGGCTGTGTGCTCAATGTTATACACCTGTCAGCAACGGGTATGGCGGAAATAGCCGAATCCACTAATTGAAGGGGTGTCCACTTTTGTATGGACAGGGCCTTCAGGAAAAGTATTCAGACCCCTTGACTTTTTCCACATTTACATTACAGCTTTATTCTAAAATTGATTAAATTGTTTTTTCCCCCTCATCAATCTACACACAATATCCCATAATGACAAAGCAAAAACAGGTTTTTAGAAATGATTGCTAATTTATGAAAATAAGAAAACTGAAATAATACATTTACATAAGTCTTCAGACCCTTTACTCCGTACTTTTTTGAAGCAACTTTGGCAGCGTTGACAGCATCGAGCCTTCTTGGGCATGAGACTACAAGCTTGGCACTCCTGTATTTGGGGAGTTTCTCCCATTCTTCTCTGCAGATCCTCTCAAGCTCTGTCAGATTGGATGGGGAGCGTTGCTGCACAGCTATTTTCAGGTCTCTCCAGAGATGTTTGATCGGCTTCAAGTCCGGGCTCTGGCTGGGCCACTCAGACATTCAGAGACTAGTCCCGAAGCCACTCCTGCAATGTTTTGGCTGTGTGCTTAGGATCGTTGTCCTGTTGGAAGGTGAACCTTTGCCACAGTCTGAGTTCCTGAGCGCTCTGGAGCAGTTTTTCATCAAGGATCTCGCTGTACTTTGCTCCGTTCATCTTTGCCTCGATCCTGACTAGTCTCCCAGTCCCTGCCGCTGAAAAACATCCCCCACAGCATGATGCTGCCACCACCATGCTTCACCGTAGGGATGGTGCCAGGTTTCCTCCAGATGTGACACTTGGCATTTTTATTTAATCCATTTTAGAATAAGGCTGTAATGTAACAAAATGTGGAAAAAGTCAAGGGATCTGAATACTTTCCGAAGGCACTGTAAGGGTATAAGAGAATGGAGTTGAGCGTTCCTCAGCTATACATAATGATGGCAAAGTTGTTTTCTACTAATTAATTGTCTACTTTATTAATGTCATGACACTGTAGAGGTGGCGCAGCCTGAGGTATCAGAATATTTGTATTTATTAAGGATCCCCATTAGCTACTGCCAAGGCAGCTACTCTTCCTGGGGTCCATCAACATTAAGTCAGTTATGTACAATTAAATATATTACATGACATTACATTTCATAACACTTTACCCAATACATTTAGTGTGTTCCATCAGGCCACTACTCCACTATCACATATTTACAATACAACATCCATGTGTATGTGTGTACACTAACACAGAAGCCCCCAAACCAGAAACCCCTACTTCAGACATCCTCGCCACAGAGGAACCCAGACGAAACCCTCCACCAGAGGAGCAGGTAGTCACGACTATAGAGGATGATAAGTAGGAGGTCCAGTCCATAGTTACCGTGCTGGAGGAGGAAAAGGAAGGTAGAGCGAGAAGCACCATTTCCCAAGAAAGCCTTGACTACTATGGCCTGTCTTCCTTTTCTTGCTCCTGCTCAGCCTCCCTCCAGGAATACCTCCTCCACCAGTGTTCCGTGCAGAGGAACTGCACCAGCCAGGAGAGGGAGCCAGAGGCACCCCCAGCACTAGGAACCGCCACCACCCCGTCACAGCAGCTTCCCATGGCCACCCAGACCCCCCAGCAGCCCCACACTCGGGGAACAGCCCCAGGAGAAAGCACCCAGCATGGCCCACTGACACCCCACCACATTTTCCATGGGTTGAGACTGAAGCAGTGGGAGAGGGAGAGCACTGCCCCACCTGGATTCCAGCCAGACCTCCACCCTGCCCGGACCCAGCTCCATTGACACCGCCACCCCTGCCGTGGAGCCTCCACACCATGCCTCCTCCAAAGACCTGCCCGGCAAAAAACACCCCGTCACCGTTGCAGAGATGAGCTGGGAGGAGAACAGACGGCCTGCTCCCCAGTGGCCCAGTGGAGCAGAGCTGGGGAGCCCCTCTAGAGAAGAGGCCCTGTCTGGAGGTCCAGCCTGCAGAACAAGACAACTTCCCGGTCATCCACACCCCACGTGGCCCATCCATTCCCCCCTGCCCTCCCCGTCTCAACACCCACAGAGATCCTCCTGAAATGTTGAAATAGCCAGTGCTTTCAATTCCATTTGAACACAGTCAGATGAATGTTTAGATGGTGATGTTTTGTCTTTTTGTTATTGTATTGAAGGTACCGAAGGCAAATGAAGGAGATGAAGAGGGGTTTCAACATAACCATCATCAAACTGCACAACACGTCCAGGATAGCAGAGGAGCAAGTGAGGAGTGGAGGGAGACCTACAATGTGTTTGTTTAAAATGTTACATACATACTACGTAGCCTATCTTAAGATGGAGTCTCAGACCAGTTTGATACAGTTTTTACATTTTGAATAATACAGTAAGAATGTCAAGGCTGTCTTGTGAAAGGCTCTGGTGGGATGTTAATCACTCACAATGGAAGGCAAGCTGTGATTGGCAATGTATGGGAATGGGGCTTGTGAGTGTTTGTGATTGGCCAGCTCATTAGTTTCCTGTCTCCCTATAGGACCAGAGACAGATTGAGTCCATCCAGTCATGACAGGGCCAGCTGGAGGACGTCACACAGCTGGTGCTCAACCTGTCCGTCAGTCAGCCAGCTGCAGAGCCAGGTATACTACATACCTTATTGAATACAATTAAATTGCCAAAATGATATAGCCTAATTAGCCTACTCTGTCTATACAGAATAAATAAAATCATTTAAGGTTACTAAAGCATGACTTGGCCACAGAGGATCATTAGGTTTAAAATAAGTTGTGGGTTGTTTTAAATCACATTGCCTACAGTCAAAAGGAAAGGCAGTGAGCACGGCAAATACCAAATACAGTTGAAGTTGGAAGTTTACATACACCTTTGCCAAATACATTTAAACTCAGTTTTTCACAATTCCTGACATTTAATCCTAGTAAAAATTCCCTGTCTTAGGTCAGTTAGGATCACCACTTTATTTTAAGAATGTGAAATGTCAGAATAATAGTAAAGAGAATGATTTATTTCAGCTTTTATTTATTTCATCACATTCCCAGTAGGTCAGAAGTTTACATACACTCAATTAGTATTTGGTAGCATTGCCTTTAAATTGTTTAACTTGGGTCAAACGTTTCGGGTAGCCTTCCACAAGCTTCCCACAATAAGTTGGGTGAATTTTGGCCCATTCCTCCTGACAGAGCTGTTGTAACTGAGTCAGGTTTGTAGGCCTCCTTGCAGGTTATGTCGATATAGGACTCGTTTTACTGTGGATATAGATACTTTTGTACCCGTTTCCTCCAGCATCTTCACAAGGTCCTTTGCTGTTGTTCTGGGATTGATTTGCACTCTTCGCACCAAAGTACGTTCATCTCTAGGAGACAGAACGCGTCTCCTTCCTGAGCGGTATGACGGCTGTGTGGTCCCATGGTGTGTATACTTGCGTACTATTGTTTGTTCAGATGAACGTGGTACCTTCAGGCGTTTGGAAATTGCTCCCAAGGATGAACCAGACTTGTGGAGGTCTACCATTTTTTTTCTGAGGTCTTGGCTGATTTCTTTTGATTTTCCCATGATGTCAAGCAAAGAGGCACTGAGTTTGAAGGTAGGCCTTGAAATACATCCACAGGTACACCTCCAATTGACTCAAATGATGTCAATTAGCCTATCAGAAGCTTCTAAAGCCATTACATCATTTTCTGGAATTTTCCAAGCTGTTTAAAGGCACAGTCAACTTAGTGTATGTAAACCTCTGAGCTACTGCAATTGTGATGAATTATAAGTGAAATAATATGTCTGTAAACAATTGTTGGAAAAATTACGTATCATGCACAAAGTAGATGTCCTAACCGACTTGCCAAAACTATAGTTTGTTAACAAGACATTTGTGGAGTGGTTGAAAAACAAGTTTTAATGACTCCAACCTAAGTGTATGTAAACTTCCGACTTCAACTGTACATTTTACCTCAATTACCTCGACTAAACGGTGCCCCCGCACATTGACTCTGTACCGGTATCCCCTGTATATAGCCTCCCTACTGTTATTTAATTTTACTGCTGCTCTTTAATTATTTGCTATTTGTTACTAAACCTTTTTTTTTTTTTTTTATTTTTTTACTGCATTGTTTGTTAAGGGCTTGTAAGTAAGCATTCCACTGTAATGTCTACACCTGTTGTATTCGGTGCATGTGACAAATAAATTTTGATTTGATCTTGTATGCAAGAAGGCACTGAAGTAAAACTGCAAAAACAGCAAAGGAATACACCTTTTGGCCTAAATGTTTGGGGCAAATTCTACCAAACACATCACTGAGTAACTATGTAATTTTCAAGCATTTTAGTGGCTGCATCATGGTATTGGTATGCTTGATGTCGGCAAACACTGTGGAGTTTTTCAGGATAAAAATAAATGTGATAGAGCTAAGTGTGACAACCCACTTCCACGTTGTCTCTGTACTACTGTACTGTTTGTTGCTGTCACGACTTCCTCCGAAGCTGCCTCCTCTCCTTGTTCGGGCAGGCTTCGGCGTTCGTTGTCACCGGCCTACTAGCCACTGCCGCTCCTCATCTCTTCATTCCATTTGTTTTGTCTTGTTTATTACACACACCTGGTTCATATCCCATCGTCAGTACCTGTACAAGTGTTCCCTCTGCCCCCTTGTCTTTGTGTGTGATTGTTTATTGTGGAGGTGAGAGAAGCTCAATGGAGCTCCTTGTATTTTGTATCGCCGGGAATATTCCCTGTTTTCCTTGTTGTTTCCAGTGCGCCTGTTTTGTGCACCTGAGTGTTTTGACGTATTACTGCGTAACTCTGTGCTTCTGAATAAATACTGTTATTCTGTGATTTACCCTCCTGCGCCTGACTCCTTCGAAATCTCTCATCACAGTTGCTACTTGGCTACCTGCCAAACTTTTTCGCTTTTAACTCTTAATAACTATACTGAACAAAAATATATATGCAACATGTAAAGTGTTGGTCCCATCTTTCATGAGCAGAACTAACAGATCCCAGAAATGTTCCATACGCACGAAAACCTTATTTCTCTCAAATTCTGTGCTGAAATTTGTTTACATCCCAGTTAGTGACCATTTCTCCTTTGCCAAGATAATCCATCCACCTGACACATGTGGCATATCAAGAAGCTGATTAAACAGCATGATCATTACACAGGTGCAGGACAATAAAAGGCCACTGAAACGCGCAGTTTTATCACACAACACAATGCCACAGATGTCTCAAGTTTTGAGGGAACGTGCAATTGGCATGCTGACTGCAGCAATGTCCACCAGAGCTGTTGCCAGAGAATGTAATGTTCATTTCTCTACCATAATCCGCCTCCAGCGACATTTTAGAGAATTTGACAGTACGTCCAACCGGCCTCACAACCGCAGACCATGTGTAACCATGCCAACCCAGGTCCTCCACATCCGGCTTCTTCATCTGCAGGATCGTCTGAGACCAGCCACCCAGACAGCTGATGGAGTATTGCTGTCTGTAATAAAAATTCATTCTGATGGGCTGGGCCTGGCTCCCAAGTGGATGGGCCTATGCCCTCCCAGGCCCACCCATGGCTGCGCCCCTTCCCAGTCATGTGAAATCCATAGATTAGGGCCTAATGAATTTATTTCAATTGACTGATTTCCTTATATGAACTGTAACTCTGCAAAATCATTGACCTGTTGCGTTTATATTTTTATTCAACTTTTTCACCCCGGACGCTTTATCTGGACATCAATTTAGATCTGAAGGACCTCCTCCGGGCAAAAAAAAGCTTAGTAACATTATGCCTTCTCATTGCAGTCGCTGTACTCTTAATATACAGGAGCAGTGGCGACCCGTCATTCAGGGCAGGTCGGACATGTTATTGACATTAACACGTGTCACATATCAGTTTGCAAACAATGTAAAAAAAAAACAATCTTTACGTTAATAAAGCTGCATACAAACTTGGTCTCTTTTTGGCTTTCTTGGGTAAGGCAGTTCCAAAATGCAAGTGTTTCAGCCTAGCTCAGTGCTTTCTGCTGTTGTGGGGTAAGCAGCTGAAAATACGGAGCGTAGGGGTTGGTAATGTTCTCTAGTTGCGCCGTGATTGGGTAACGTTCTCTAGTTGCGCCGTGATTGGCTCAGTGTTCTGTCACTCATGGGGACACTACGTCACCGCCAAATCTAAGGGTAGAGCTCAAATTCAAGCCCCTTGGGTGCTGCCATAGAGTTCCATTAGAAGTGCCCATCCAATAAGGCTCAAGGTCATTGGCCACAGATAAAATGACGTCAAATTACATTATATCTACCGTAGCTTTGATTGGACTGATAATGTCAACATCATACTTTCAAAATCTTAGCTAGCAAGCTAGCAGTCATCATCATGAATCAAGTTGACAATCTACTGGCAAATGCTTTTTAATCTTTGTCATATGAAGAGAACTTATAGATAAAACGTATCGGTGCTCATCGGCCATTGGACATAGACATTACACAACAAGTTGGAAATCGCAAATTCAACAATGAGTGGTTTGGAAGGAATTAGTGGCCAACTGCAAGCATTGCAAAGCAATCACTAGCCTGCTATTCAGTGGAGTGGGTTTGTGGTTCCATGACTTCTGCTGCGCTCAAAACAAATGGAGACTCAGAACTGGGAAATCTGACTTCAGTGAGTTCAAGACAACTGGGAACTCGGAAAAAAATATGTTATGAGCGGTCATCCAACTCGGAATTGCAAGTGGGGAACTCAGGCCTCTTTCTAGAGCTCCAACCTGAAGATCACTGACGTCATCATGATTCGACATTGTTTTTTTCTGAGTTCCCAGTTGTTTTGAAAGCACCATAAATCCAGAGAATTCCAGACTTTGATGACAAAATTTGCCCACGAAGGACCACCGCGCCACCTTCCTGTTCAAGTGAGCACAACAAGGTGAGTCCAAAAATGTATTGTATGCTGCTGCATAAATTATGTAATATGCCAGGGAGATATGTATTCTGTAGCTAAGAAAGTAATACTAAGTGTATGTTGTGTAGTAAGTCCCTTTTCCCCCTCTTAATTTCGCCTACTGTTCTGACTTGATGGTGCACATGTAGCCTATAGCCTGTTTTAGGGAAATGTAATCATTGAATATTGTAAGCGCTTTCATTGTCTGCTTATATGCCCCCTTTATTTATCCTACGGTTCTGACTGTACAGGGAGAATACTGTAAGAACGGCCCATGTTCTGAATTCTGTCGCTGTACATTTCAAAAGTGCTGAACAAAGTTATATTGACTACGTCCGTCCTAGCTCGCTCATTAATGTCTTAATCGAAAATACAGATTGCCTCTTATCTGCTCGTCATTCCCTTATGCCTTAGTTTGTACATCTCAATTGTCAGTAGAAACCACATTTGTTTAAGCAAGTCAGCCATATCAGCTCTGTTTTTTTTTTTTAAGGCAGTAAATGTCGCTGCCAGACAAGGCTCCGCTGATAGCCAGGTGTAGCAGTGGTAAGGTGTTGGGACTGCTGTTGGGACAGCTTTATGTAGGCCCTAACAGTTTGTGGGCACCGTTTGTCACCGTTATAGTGCAATTAATGTATTGTTTAGCGTTGTGTTGTGTAGTGGTTTTGCTGGCATGCATAAAAAAAATAGAAAATAATTGTTTGCCCCACCAAGATTTACATGCTAAAATCGCCACTGTACAGGAGAACTATTGCTGTATGGTGAGGATAGTCAAGTTGCACACTCGGCTTCAGACGCAATCGTTAGGCAAGGGCAATTTAAGTGTAGGAAAGGATGATGCAGCGTCTGTGCCACCAGCAAATACAGGTAGTAGTGTTAATCCCCCTGCACAGTCCTGCAGCCAAACAATTGTCTCATGGCTTCTGGAAAGAAATGCTGTCAGCATGCTCAACCGGTGTCACTCATTCAGCCAATATAAACTTTCAACCGGTTTTCCCCACTAAGCAACAAGTCGGAGTCAGAGCCCAGCCTTCTCAGGTCTCTCCTCCACCCGTTACGGGGTCTGAGCCCCCAAGCCTCCCACCATTAGTTCTGACAAATTGAAAACCCTAGTCATTGGAGACTCCATTACCTGCAATATTAGACTTAAAAATAATCAATAATCAAGCGATCATACATTGTTTACCAGGGGGCAGGGTTACCAACGTAAAGGCTAATCTGAAGATGGTGCTGTGGCTGAGGCTAAAACTGGATTTGTGTAGATGGTATAGAGATATTGTTATCCACGTTGGCACCAACGATGTTAGGATGAAACAGTCAGAGGTCACCAAGCGCAACATTAATTCAGTGTGTAACTTAGCTAGAAAGATGTGTTGGCATTGAGTAATTGTCTCTGGCCCCCTTCCAGTTAGGGGAGAGATGAGCTCTACAGCAGACAACTCAATCGCTGGTTGAAAACTGTTTTCTTCCCCTCCCAAAAGATAGAATTTGTAGATAACTGGCCCTCTTTCTGGGACAAGCTGGAGAGGTGCTCTCATATCTATCAACATAGACAGGGCTCTAACTCCTCTAGTTCCACAATGAGATAGGGGGCAGGCTGTTAGCCAGCCTGCCAGTTTAGTGGAGTCTGCCACTAGTACAGTCAGTGAAGTCAGCTCAGCTTTCCCCATTGAGAACATGTCTGTATCTCAATCTAGATTGGGCAAAACTAAACATGGCAGTGTTTGCCATAGCAATCTCACTGGAATAGACCTCCTCCATTACTGTCATTATTGAAAGAGATTGTGATAATAGGACTACTTAATGTTAGATCCGTCACTTCCAAGGCAGCCATAGTCAATGAACTAATCACTGATCATAATCTTGATGTGATTGGCCTGACTGAAACATGGAGCCTGATGAATTTACTGTGTTAAATGGGGCCTCTCCTCCTGGTTACACTAGTGACCACATCCCCCGCGCATCCCGCAAAGGCGGAGGTGTTACAAACATTTACGACAGCAAATTTCAATTTACGAAACAAAATGACTGCATTTTCATCTTTTGAGCTTCTAGTCATGGAATCAATGCAGCCTACTCAATCACTTTTTATAGCTAATGTTTTCAGGCCTCTTGGGCCGTATACGGCTTTCCTCGCTAAGTTCCCTGAATTCCTATCAAGCCTCGTAGTAATGGCAGATAATATCGAAATATTTGGTGACTTCAATATTCACATGGAAAAGTCCACAGACCCACTCCAAAAGGCTTTCGGAGACATCATCGACTCGTGGGTTTTGTCCAACATGTCTCTTGACCTACGCATTGCCACAGTCATACCGTGGATCTAGTTTTTTTCCCATGGAATAAATATTGTGGAGCTAAATGTTTTTTCTCATAATCCTGAACTATCGGTCCACCATCTTATTACGTTTGCAATTGCAACAAATACAGTGCCTTGCAAGAGTATTCATCCCCCTTGGCGTTTTTCCTATTTTGTTGCATTACAACCTGTAATTTAAATTGATTTTTATTTGGATTTAATGTAATGAACATACACAAAATAGTCCAAATTGGTGAAGTGAAATGAAAAAAATAACTTGTTTCAAAAAATTATAAAAAATAAATTACGGAAAAGTGGTAAGTGCATATGTATTCACCCCCTTTGCTATGAAGCCCCTAAATAAGATATGGTGCAACCAATTACCTTCATAAGCCACATAATTAGTTAAATAAAGTCCACCTGTGTGCAATCTAAGTGTTAAATGATCTGTCACATGATCTCAGTATACAGTGGGGGAAAAAAGTATTTAGTCAGCCACCAATTGTGCAAGTTCTCCCACTTAAAAAGATGAGAGAGGCCTGTAATTTTCATCATAGGTACACGTCAACTATGACAGACAAATTGAGAAAAAAAATCCAGAAAATCACATTGTAGGATTTTTTATGAATTTATTTGCAAATTATGGTGGAATATAATTTATTTGGTCAATAACAAAAGTTTCTCAATACTTTGTTATATACCCTTTGTTGGCAATGACACAGGTCAAACGTTTTCTGTAAGTCTTCACAAGGTTTTCACACACTGTTGCTGGTATTTTGGCCCATTCCTCCATGCAGATCTCCTCTAGAGCAGTGATGTTTTGGGGCTGTCGCTGGGCAACACAGACTTTCAACTCCCTCCAAAGATTTTCTATGGGGTTGAGATCTGGAGACTGGCTAGGCCACTCCAAGACCTTGAAATGCTTCTTACGAAGCCACTCCTTCGTTGCCCGGGCGGTGTGTTTGGGATCATTGTCATGCTGAAAGACCCAGCCACGTTTCATCTTCAATGCCCTTGCTGATGGAAGGAGGTTTTCACTCAAAATCTCACGATACATGGCCCCATTCATTCTTTCCTTTACACGGATCAGTCGTCCTGGTCCCTTTGCAGAAAAACAGCCCCAAAGCATGATATTTCCACCCCCATGCTTCACAGTAGGTATGGTGTTCTTTGGATGCAACTCAGCATTCTTTGTCCTCCAAACACGACGAGTTGAGTTTTTACCAAAATTTCTATTTTGGTTTCATCTGACCATATGACATTCTCCCAATCCTCTTCTGGATCATCCAAATGCACTCTAGCAAACTTCAGATGGGCCTGGACATGTACTGGCTTAAGCAGGGGGACACGTCTGGCACTGCAGGATTTGAGTCCCTGGCGGCGTAGTGTGTTACTGATGGTAGGCTTTGTTACTTTGGTCCCAGCTCTCTGCAGGTCATTCACTAGGTCCCCCCGTGTGGTTCTGGGATTTTTGCTCACCGTTCTTGTGATCATTTTGACCCCACGGGGTGAGATCTTGCGTGGAGCCCCAGATCGAGGGAGATTATCAGTGGTCTTGTATGTCTTCCATTTCCTAATAATTTCTCCCACAGTTGATTTCTTCAAACCAAGCTGCTTACCTATTGCAGATTCAGTCTTTCCAGCCTGGTGCAGGTCTACAATTTTGTTTCTGGTGTCCTTTGACAGCTCTTTGGTCTTGGCTATAGTGGAGTTTGGTGTGACTGTTTGAGGTTGTGGACAGGTGTCTTTTATACTGATAACAAGTTCAAACAGGTGCCATTAATACAGGTAACGAGTGGAGGACAGAGGAGCCTCTTAAAGAAGAAGTTACAGGTCTGTGAGAGCCAGAAATCGTGCTTGTTTGTAGGTGACCAAATACTTATTTGCCACCATAATTTGCAAATAAATTCATAAAAAATCCTACAATGTGATTTTCTGGATTTTTGTCTCTCTCAATTTTTCTGTTTTTTCCCCACTTTATATACACCTGTTCTGAAAGGCCCCAGAGTCTGCAACACCATTAAGCAAGGGGCACCACCAATCCAGGCTCTGTCGCAGCCGGCCGTGACCGGGAGACTCATGGGCGGCGCACAATTGGCCCAGCGTCGTCCAGGGTAGGGGAGGGAATGGCCGGCAGGGATGTAGCTCAGTTTTGTGGGTTCGATTCCCACGGGGGGCCATTATAAAAAAAATATATATGTATTCACTAACTGTAATTCGCTCTGGATAAGAGCGTCTGCTAAATAACTAAAATGTAAAATGTAAAAATGTAAGCGGCACCATGAAGACCAAGGAGCTCTCCAAACAGGTCAGGGACAAAGTTGTGGAGAAGTACTGATGAAGGTTGGGTTACAAAAAAATATCAGAAACTTTGAACATCCCACGGAGCACCATTTAAATCCATTATTAAAAAATGAAAAGAATATGGCACCACAACAAACCTGCCAAGAGAGGGCTGCCCACCAAAACTCACACACCAGGCAAGGAGGGCATTAATCAGAGAGGCACCCTGGATGCAGTCACACATCGAAAAAAAATAAATATGTGTCACAAGAAATGAGCTCCCTGGTATATAGAAAATACACGAGCCCTGAAACAAGCTTCCAGAAAATTGGAACGGAAATGGCGCTCCACCAAACTGGAAGTCTTCCGACTAGCTTGGAAAGACTGTACAGTGCAATATTGAATAGCCCTCTCTGCTGCTCGGTCAGTCTACTTTTCCAACCTGAATGAGAATAAAAACAATCCAAAATGTATTTTTGATACTGTCGCAAAGCTAACTAAAAAGCAGTATTCCCCAAGTGAAGATTGCCTTCACTTCAGCAGTGATAAATTCATGAACGTCTTAGATGAAAAGATCATGATCATTAGAAAGCAAATTATGGACTCTCCAAAAGTCAGTTGTCCTGAGTCTGCACAGAACTGCCAGGACCTAGGATCAATGGAGGCACTCAAGTTTAATCCTGTATCTCTCGACACATTCACGAAAATAGTCATGGCCTCTAAACCTTCCAGCTGTCTACTGGACCCTATTCCAACTAAACTACTGAAAGAGCTACCTCCTGTTCTCCGGATGGGTACCAAACTCACTAAAAGTGTCAGTAATAAAGTCTCTCCTGTAAAAGCCAAACCTTGACCCCAGAAAATTTCTGCAACTAAAATCGGCCTATATCGTATCTCCCATTCCTCACCAAGATTTGGGAAAAATCTGTTGTGCAGCAACTCACTGCCTTCCTGAACACAAATAATGTATACAAAATGCTCCAGTCTGGTTTTAGACCCCATCATAGGACTGAGACTGCACTCGTGAAGGTGGTAAATTACCTTTTAATAGCATCAGACCAAGGCTCTGCATCTGTCCTCGTGCTCCTAGACCTTAGTGCTGCTTTCGACACCATCGATCACCACAATCTTTGGAAACACTAATTGTTTTTGCCTGGTTTATATCTTATCTGTCGGAAAGATATCAGTTAGTCTCTGTGGATGGTTTGTCCTCTGACAAATCAATGGTACGTTTCGGTGTTCCTCATCAGGACCACTATTGTTTTCACTATATATTCTACCCCTTGGTGATGTCATTGGGAAACACAATGTCAACTTTCACTGCTATGCGGACGACACAAAGTTGTACATTCCGATTAAACATGGTGAAGCCCCAAAATTGCATGTTTCAGACATAAGGAAGTGGATGGCGGAAAATGTTTTACTTTTAAACTCGGACAAAACAGAGATGCTAGTTCTAGGTCCCAAGAAACAAACAGATCTGCTGTTTGATCTGACAATCTTGATGGTTGTACCATTGTCTTAAATAAAACGGAAGGACCTCGGCATTACTCTGGACCCTGATCTCTCTTTTGACAAACATATCAAGAATATTTCAAGGCCAGTTTTTTTCCATCTTCGTAACATTGCAAAAAACTAACTTTTTGTCAAAAGATTATGCAGAAAAGCTAATCCATGCTTTTGTCACTTATAATTTAGATTAGACTGCTGCAATGCTCTACTCCCCGGCTACCCAGATAAAGCACTAAATAAACTTCAGTTAGTGCTAAATACGGCTGCTAGAATCTTGAATAGAACCAAAATATTTGATCATATTACTCCAGTGCTAGCCTCTGGCTTCCTGCTAAGGCTAGGGCTGATTTCAAGGTATTACTGCTAACCTACAAAGCATTACATGGACTTGCTCCTACCCATCTCTCCCATTTGGTCCTGCCGTACAGTGCATTCGGAAAGTATTCAGACCCCTTGAGTTTTTCCATATTTTGTTACTTTACAGCCTTATTCTAAAATTGCTTAAAAGCATTTTTTTAATGCAATTTACACACAATACCCCATAATGACAAAGCGAAAACAGGTTAAGACATTTTTGCAAATTTGTTTAAAATAAAAAAAACAGATACCTTAATTAAATAAGTATTCAGACCCTTTGCAATGAGACTCGAAATTGAGCTCAGGTGCATCCTGTTTTCATTAGTCATCCTTGAGCGGTTTCTATAACTTGATTGGAGTCCACCTGTGGTAAAGGCAATTGATTGGACATGATTTGGAAAGGCACACACCTGTCTATGTAAGGTCCCAACGTTGACAGTGCATGTCAGAGCAAAAACCAAGCCATGAGGACAAAGAAATTGTCTGTAGAGCTGTTGGGGCACAGATCTGGGGATGGGTACCAAAACATTTCTGCAGCATTGAAGGTCCCCAAGAACACAGTGGCCTCCATCATTCTTAAATGGAAGAAGTTTGGAACCACAAAGACTCTTCCTAGAGCTGGCCTCCCAGCCAAACTGAGCAATCGGGGGAGAAGGGCCTTGGTCAGGGAGGTGACCAAGACCCCTATTGTCACTCTGACAGAGCTCCAGAGTTCCTCTGTGGAGATGGGAGAACCTTCCAGAAGGACAACCATCTCTGCAGCACTCCACCAATCAGGCCTTTATGGTAGAGTGGCCAGACGGAAGCCACTCCTCAATAAAAGGCACATGACAGCCCGATTGCAGTTTGCCAAAAGGCACCTAAAGGACTCTCAGACCATGAGAAACAAGATTCTCTGGTCTGATGAAACAAAGATTGAACTCTTTGGCCTGAATGCCAAGTGTCACATCTGCAAGAAACCTGGCACCATCCCTACGGTGAAGCATGGTGGTGGCAGCATTATGCTGTGGGGATGTTTTTCAGTGGCAGGGACTGGGAGACTAGTCAGGATCGAGGGGAAAATGAACGGAGCAAAGTACAGAGGGATCCTTGATGAAAACCTACTCCAGAGCACTCAGGACCTCAGTCTGGGGCGAAGGTTCACTTTCCAACTGGACAACGACCATAAGCACATAGCCAAGACAATGCAGGAGTGTCCTTGAGTGAACAAACCAGAGCCCGGACTTGAACCTTATCGAACATCTCTGGAGAGACCTAAAAATAGCTGTGCTGCGACGCTCCCCATCCAACCTGACAGAGCTTGAGAAGATCTGCAGAGAAGAATAGGACAAACTCCCCAAATAGAGGTGTGCCAAGCTTGTAGCGCCATACCCAAGAAGACTCGAGGCTGTAATCGCTGCCAAAGGTGCTTCAACAAAGTACTGAGTAAAGGGTTGGAATACTTATGTAAATGTCATATCAGTCATATTTGCAAAAATGTCTAAAAACCAGTTTTTGCTTTGTCATTATGGGGTATTGTGTGTAGAATGATGAGGGGCAAAAAACAATTTAATCCATTTTAGAATAAGGCTGTAACGTAACAATATGTGGAAAAAGTCAAGGGGTCTGAATACTTTCCGAATGCACTGTACATACGTACACGTACGCTCAGTCTAGACCTTTAAGTCTTTACTGAATCTCTTCAGTAGGTCCTATGATTGAGTGTAGTCTGGCCCAGGAGTGCAAAGGTGAACAGCAAGGCACTGGCGTGAGGAACCGCCCATGCTGTCTCTGTCTGGCCAGCTCCCCTCTCGCCACTGGGATTCTCTGCGTCTGACCCTATTAAGGGCTAAGTCACTGGCTTACTAGTAAAAAAAAGTAACACAATAAAATAACAGTAACCAGCCTTTATTCAGGGGGTACCGGTACCGAGTCAATGTGCGGGGGTACAGGTTAGTCAAGGTAATTGAGGTAATTTGTACATGTAGGTAGGGGTAAAGTGACTAGCACAATTGGTTAGGAGCCCATAAAACGGCAGCCATCCCCTCCGGCACCATTCTCAACAATGATTAAGAGTTATTTCCAAGCAGTCTCTGGAGCCAAACCCTTTAACGACAGTCTTGACTACTTTGCGATTGCATTGGGCAGACCCCCCCAAAAAGCCTAGGGGGTTACCCTCCCCCTTACTCCCTCAGGTAAGTATTGGGCATGTGAAAGTGACACACTGCAACACACTGCACACTGAATTATTCTGATATGGCACTGCAACATATAAGGTATGACAGTGATTAATCAGTTGTAAAAATATTTTATATGAGCTATGATGGGCCCAGGTTTTCCTAATCAGGTCATGTGGGTTTAAAAAAAAACTCCTGGCCCTGGGGAGGATAAAAATCCAGTCAAACTGCAGCAACCTTATACTTGTTCATATTCATTCGTTATATTTAGACTAGACTAACAGGGGGTTTCCTCTACCAAGACACAGAGATAACAACTGATAGACAATAGAACTCACAGGACTGAGTTTGCTTTATGCATGTTTGCATCATGCAGGCCTATGCAACTGTAGGCCTAATTTAAAATGTACTCACAGTCTATGTCATCAGTCTGTCATCACTATTATGTTGATTGATTAATTCCAATTAATAATTTGGGATTGAAAATGTATAGGTAATCTAGCCAGCCCAACAAAATTTGATAATATTCACATTTTCTCCTGACAAACAAAATGGACTATAAATACATAACGTTACCGATTTGTTTACCCTGACCAGATGGACAAAGAGCGCAACACATACACACTGAACTATGCTCAACTCTCCTGTGCTGGTTCAGCCAGCCTTCCAGAAGCTTTGCCTTCACACAGCCTATCAGCCCGCTCTGTGGTCTCCACATGGTCCTAAATCCAGCCATCAGAACACTCCAAACAGCCTACCCTACTGTTCGGAGGCGTCCGCATGGTCCTAAAGCACACCATTGCCACATTTTGAATCACATTGCAATGATACAACTGGGGGAGACAAAAATGCTATTTCAGAATGTGGGGGGGACATGACCCCCCGCCCCAGTGAAAGTTGCACCCCTGACAAAAATACATACAGTTACACATGTGTTTTTTTATGTTGTGGCTATTGTAATCTAATCATCTCTAAGGAAAAGAAAATGGGCTGAGACAGTGAAAACTGTCATTTATTTTCAGTCAAAGGTTCTTCTACAGATTTTATATGTTCCGCCTCTTGCAATTACCTTAGGGAGCCCCCCTAGATTTGACTCCAAATCCATTATGGCTGCCACAATACCATTAAATGGTGGTTTAATCACCTGTATAGATACGTTCCCTTTCAGTTGGTCACTCGGTATAACATACTATGGAGAGTCAACGACCAATCCTATTCACCTTAAGCAAACTGAAATCACGCCCAATGGATGCTGAGTCTGCCCTCGGAAGCCCCACCTTCCTGGCTATAATACATGGGTTCAACGTCCATTGGGCGTCGGGCTGACTTTGTGAGGAAGATTGAGGCTGCTGGCGAAAGGCCTCCGGTGAGGCAACCTCAGGAATGGCGTTGTCTGAGGCCGACGGAGAGCAGCAGCGGTGGTCGTAGTTGATAGGGGCGTCATCCCAGCCGAGTGAGGCTCATTCTGCTTTCTCTGGCAGTGTTCAGTCCTGATTCCGGGGGTGATAATAGTATACCTGGTTGGTTCTGCAAGGTTTTCAGAGTGTGAATCAGATGACATCAGTCCGGGGCAGCCTGAAGCCCTGGGTTTGGAGTGGGAGAGTCAACCATTGGTGGTTAATGTGCCTTTGTTGAGGCTGTGTCGTATGGCAGCTGATCACCTGGGGGTGGATTGGCCATCTTCTCCCCCTCAGCCGAGTTCCTCCAGGTTTGGGGGAAGGTTTTTACATCCTGTCCCTGCAGTGGTGAAGCGTTTTTATATCCTGCCGCCCAGGAGTGTATTGTTTGCAATGCTCTTTGCAAATAATTACATCATAGACATCCTTATGAATCTAAGCATGGCACTTTCAAAAGTTACCTTACCACCCAGACAGAGGCTCTACCGACGCAGAAAAATGTAAGCTTCAACTGCTGGCTACTCGTCCGTTGTATAAAACCAACAACAGAACTGCTTCCCTAAAAGCTGCCTGGGTTTAAACAAACATCTTCTCTTTTCAGAAAGAGAAAAGCTCAATTAATAGGGATAGAATAGCAAAGTCCATTTTGTTTATCTCCTCGAATATTATAGGCTGCAGCTCAGCTTCAGAATGTCATAGAGAGGAATCAATATATCCCCACATGCATCGGACTCACGTCTTTCGCGGGCATTTTAGAGCTTGTTTCTACCATAAGGCATCACCGAGTTAAGCATCCTTATAGAACGCTTGATATAATTTGGATACGTTTTATGCATTTATTTCAAAATATAAAGCAAACAATAGATATCCTTTTTGCCCTTTTCTTTAACAAAGGGTATGTGATACCCTCACTCAATTCGAGCCCTGGTTTTAACCAAACACACCAAGCCCTTCCCAGGCACGGTGGTATTTAATCAGTGCATGCGACAGTATTGGAGTATTTGGCTATACCGACATCTATGGATAGCATAATTGTGTCTGTCAAACAGGTAGGCTTACCAATTATTTTTTGGAATAGGAAGAAATAGGCTCCAATTATACAGTTGAAGTTGCAAGTTTACATACACTTAGGTTGGAGTCATTAAAACGTTTTTTTCAACCACTCCACAAATGTCTTGTTAACAAACTATAGTTTTGGCAAGTCGGTTAGGACATCTACTTTGTGCATGACACAAGTAATTTTTCCAACAAATGTTTACAGACAGATATTTCACTGTATCACAATTCCAGTGGGTCAGAAGTTTACATACACTAAGTTGACTGTGCCTTTAAACAGCTTGGAAAATTCCAGAAAATGATATCATGGTTTAGAAGCTTCTGATAGGCTAATTGACATAATTTGGAGGTGTACCTGTGGATGTATTTCAAGGCCTACCTTCAAACTCAGTGCCTCTTTGCTTGGCATCATGGGAAAATCAAAAGAAAACAGCCAAGACCTCAGAAAAAAAAATTGTAGACCTCCACAAGTCTGGTTCATTCTTGGGAGCAATTTCCAAATGCCTAAAGGTACCACGTTCATCTGTATAAACAATAGTACGCAAGTATAAACACCATGGGACCACACAGCCTTCATACCACTCAGGAAGGAGACGCGTTCTGTCTCCTAGAGATTAACGTACTTTGGCGCGAAGAGTGCAAATCAATCCCAGAACAACAGCAAAGGACCCTGTGAAGATGCTGGAGGAAACAGGTACAAAAGTATCTATATCCACAGTAAAACGAGTCCTATATCGACATAACCTGAAAGGCCACTCAGCAAGGAAGAAGCCACTGCTCCAAAACCGCCATAAAAAAGCCAGACTACGGTTTGCAACTGCACATGGGGACAAAGATTGTACTTTTTGGAGAAATGTCCTCTGGTCTGATGAGACAAAAATAGAACTGTTTGGCCATAATGACCATCGTTATGTTTGGAGGAAAAAGGGGGTCGCCTGCAAGCCGAAGAACACCATCCCAACCGTGAAGCACGGTGGTGGCAGCATCATGCTGTGGGGGTGCTTTGCTGCAGGAGGGACTGGTGCACTTCACAAAATAGATGTCATCATGAGGAAGGAAAATTATGTGGATATATTGAAGGAACATCTCAAGACATCAGTCAGGAAGTTAAAGCTTGGTCGCAAATGGGTCTTCCAAATGGACAATGACCCCAAGCATACTTCCAAAGTTGTGGCAAAATGGCTTAAGGACAACAAAGGCAAGGTTTTGGAGTGGCCATCACAAAGCCCTGACCTCAATCCTATAGAAAATCTGTGGGCAGAACTGAAAAGCCGTGTGCGAGCAAGGAGGCCTACAAACCTGACTCAGTTACAACAGCTCTGTCCGGAGTAATGGGCCAAAATTCACCCATCTTATTGTGGGAAGCTTGTGGAAGGCTACCCAAAACGTTTGACCCAAAATAAACAATTTAAAGGCAATGCTACCAAATACTAATTGAGTGTATGTAAACTTCTGACCTACTGGGAATGTGATGAAAGAAATAAAAGCTGAAATAAATCATTCTCTCTACTATTATTCTGACATTTCACATCCTTAAAATAAAGTGGTGATCCTAACTGACCTAAGACAGGGAATTTTTACTATGATTAAATGTCAGGAATTGTGAAAAACTGAGTTTAAATGTAGTTGGCTAAGGTGTATGTAAACTTCCGACTTCAACTGTATATCCTAACGTGACTTTGTCTGGTAGAGACTCTGACTCAAAACTCAAAAGGACTGACAGTGACTCCCCTGTTTTACCACACTCCCCACCGGGTCTGCGTCGCACCAAACTGTGGGCATCACAAATGGCAGGAATTTTGAACTTCAATTGCTCCACCTCCAACCTTAACGCTACCCCAGAAATCACTCCATTCAATGGTGCCCTGTTCCTAAGAGCAAAGAAAAAAACAGATCTTGACCCAAGTTGCGTGACACGGAGCGGATCGCCTGCTCCCTCTGGTCAGAAGAAACACACACAAATATCACAAGTCCACTAGAGGTTACCTTCACTGATTCAACTGCACCCAACTCTTTTCTCACCCACCCTGAAACCACAAATGGATCCGCCAAAAGGCAAAGGTCCACTTTCTCCAAAAATGTCACTCCTACTGGACCAGATTCTTCTTTATCGTGTCCAATGATGCCAAGCTCGGGTTCCAAACTCTTCACCACACCTTCCACCTCACTTAACTTGCCCTCATTCACTTCCATTTCACCTCCAGAACTCAGTCTGGTGCATGGCTCACTCTGTTTGCACTTCACACCAATCTTCTTTGACACCCCATCTCCATTTTTATCACACTCAGATTCAAATCCAACCTCTGCTTTCCTCATTCTCTTCAACCTCCTCTTCCTCCTTTTCCACCTCCATTCCTCCTCAGAAATCCAAGGTTCAATGTCCCTGTCCCAATATTTCTGTTCTTGTTCCATGATTCCTCCTACAACCTCAAGTCTCTCAGCGAAGCAGCAGCACACTGAGCAAAAAAGCTAACAACAATTGTTTTAGTGGTAGCAAAACGCAGCCAGCCATGTGGACGATTGGAAGACTTCCACCAGACTGACTCTGGTCTTCCAACATTGCGCCTGGTGTGGTTGCTAGGTGATTTGTGACTCAACTGCAAGGCTTCTATAGTGTGCTACTGCAGGAACGCCCCCCCTCGAGCACCCATTTGTTTTCATCCTGCCATGATTGGAAAAGGTTATGATTACAAAAATCCATGTTTCTATGTTAAATTTTATTTAGTTATATATTCAGTCCTGTTGTCATGTACTTGATGTTATATAAAGTGTATTCATGACTAGGTATAGAAAAAACTAAATTTTGTAAATCAATTCCAACTCTATATCTGACATTGTCATAATTTTGAGCAGGCTTCAATTCGCAAAAGGTGGATGTATCTTCTCTCCTGTGTTTCTAATTTCGCTAATCGCAACAGGCGAAAGTCCAAGCGAGTGAAACAGCGCCCCTCTGTCTCTGTATGTGTAGACCATCTATCTGATGCGGTCTGGTCATAAAGAGTATGACAATGTTGCGTCAGTAGCATTGAACGCAAGGTAAACCAGCGAGCATTTGGCATACCTTGATTTTAAAAAAGTATAAAATAATAGCCAATCAGCGTTGAGCTAAACTGAGTGAGCTCAACTGTGAATGGTCCTGGCCCACCAGAGTGCCAAGGGAAGCCAGTTTGGATTTATCTTCACTCCTATCACAGAGAAATACGTCAATCGATAGAAACAACTTGAATTGTTGCATCTCGTTGTGTTGTTGTCCTCTGGGGGCTAGCTAGCTACAATTGGCCGTTCCTAAATTAGCCATGGATGGAGATAGGGATTTGGACTGGTTTTACTTAATTCTCTGTCCTGGCCAATGATTATAATGGCGATTTTGATCCAACCATAAAATACATTGTGCCCCTGGACCAAGAGGATGGAAGTTCAATATGTAGCTAGATGTAGAAGGATAATGTTAACTAGCTAACGTTGCCACAGGTGGACTCCAATCAAGTTGTAGAAACATCTCAAGGATGATCAATGGAAACAGAATGCACCTGAGCTCAATTTCGAGTCTCATAGCAAAGGGTCTGAATACTTATGTAAATAAGGTATTTCTGTATAAATAATAAATAAAAAAAATCTAAAAAACAGTTTTCGCTTTGTCATTATGTGTGTAGATTGATAAGAAAATGTTTTATTTAATACATTTTAGAATAAGGCTGTAACGTAACAAAATGTGGAAAAAGTCAAGGGGTCGGAATACTTCCCGAATGCACTGTATATCCCGGTCGCAAGGCATATGAACTAACAGGGAATACCCTTACGAAAAAAGATTGCAGTCAGAGTGCAGTATAACTGCAGTATGCTGCAAATACTGCGTTCAATATAACACCTTTTTTTACTGCAGTAATTTTGCAGTGTAACTGCAGTTAGAGTGCAGTATAACTGCAGTTCAACTGCAGTTCAACTGCAGTGCAGTGTTATTCTGCAATTACTGCGTCCAAAATACCACAGTCGACTGCAGTTACTGCACTTTTACTGCAGTTTCAAAACTGCAATCTTTTTTTGTAAGGGTAGAGCAAACAATGCAATTATCACAACACATATGTTGTAATATTGCTTTTTCTTCTGGTTTCGCTCCCCCGCTGATTCTACCCACACACCACTACTGGACATGGTACAGGTGTCTTCTTTTTTTTTAAAGCCCATAACCATGTGTGTTAGGTGTATACTTTTGTTTCAAAAGACTACCAAGAATCACTCAATTGCACCCTTCTCACAAATCCTGCGACCAGTGATATATATATTTTTTAAACTCCTCCCTCAACCGGGATCGATCAACTTCACGTTTTTCTGCTTAGGCCTGGAAAGGCTATAAGGACATGCCTGACGCCCAAACCGATAGTTCATTTAAGAATGTATTAAAATTAGGTTACGGTTAGGGTAAGTGCTAGGGTCAGGGTTTGGGTTAGGGTTAAGGTAAGAGTGGGTTTGCTAGTCGGTTTAAGCGGCAGCTGTGTCCATATAGTCTCTCCCCTTCGCCAACCACCTTTGATTGAGAAACACTCTTTTCACACCACTTCGATACCGAAGTGACTTTTTTGTAGGTTAGGATAATTAATACAGCGGGTTAGCGAAAATGATCTCCTGCTACGAAAATCAATTGGTTTAGAAGGTGCGTGAAAAGTGTCCTATCTTTGATTAGGTCATGGGATGAGAGGGTCGGTTTTTGGTGTCCAGCAGATGGCGACAATTCCACAGTAAATGAGGATCGCTACCATGACAACCACTCAAGCCACTCTCGTACGGTGCAGTTTGTTGTTGGATGTGAAGCAGTGAAGCAACTTTTCTTGACCAAAATGGAGCCACTGCCAGCTTCATTTTACGGGAAAATTAATAAAAGAAACCCAGTAATATCAGCGTTTGATGGAGACATAAAGAAGTTTATGTCATTTATTAAACGAATTAGTACTTTGCCAACCTACGACCACAACTCCTACGCAAGAGGGTGAGACATTTCCTGGCTATATCCAAATCAAGTGTCACGTCGTTAGCTAACGTTAACGTAGCTAACGTTAGCTATCTTATTCTTGTTTGAAAACTAGGCCTAACGTTAGCTAGCTAGCAGTAACTTCAGTTTACTTGCAAGCTAGCAGCCTGCTATGTGAATTTCTCCAGCCAGAAGAGGACTGGCCACCCCTCAGAGCCTGGTTCCTCTCTTGGTCTCTTCCAAGGTTCCTGCCTTTCTTGGGAGTTTTTCCTACCCGCTGTGCATCTACATCTGCATTGCTTGCTGTTTTGGGTTTTAGGCTGGGTTTCTGTATAAGCACTTTGTAACATCTGCTGATAAAAAGGGCTTTATAAATACATTTGATTTTATTCTTTTCCTCCAATGTATGTAACGTTAACAGTGCCAAAACTCTGTTTGAGATATGGAACAAGTACAAACCTCGACTACCAACCAACTACTATGAAGAACACATGCTGCAAATGGCAGATTTTCTTTTTGGCATCAAGGTTTGTTTGCATTCCTTTCTTCTCTCATTACTCACTCACTCACTCACTCACTCACTCACTCACTCACTCACTCACTCACTCACTCACTCACTCACTCACTCACTCACTCAGTCACTCACTCAGTCACTCACACACACAGCTAGCTACATATATTTGATTTGACCGCAAGGATTCCCTGCCACACCCAATCCGTTGTATTACTTTCTTCTCTGTTAGTTCAAACTCCGTTTTTTTTTTTCTCTCTCCAGTTATACAGGCTGGGTCAATGGCAGGGCTACAGTCGCTACCTGCAGCAGTTCAGCACTGTGACCATAGAGGACATTAGGGATGTTGACCACTTCAGGACCTCCTTCTTCCCCAAGGGGTTCGACACAGACCAAGCCAAGCTGACGGTGAGGACAGTGTGTGTGTGTGTGTGTGCTTGTGTGTGTGTGTGTGTACGTTTGTGTCTGTGTTTGTGTCCTTGTATCCGTGGATCTGTGTTCAGAATGAAACAAAGCAGACAAGAACACATCTCACACAATGGGCTTGCCGTTTATGTTGTAATTGTTGTGACTGTCTCTACCCTCCACCTCTCTCTGTGTCTTACGTGTGTGTCTGTGGCCTGTGTGGCTGTTAGTTCCGGGCTCTGCAAGGCTACTGCCTGTGTGCCTTCCAGCTGGAGAGGGAAAGAGGGAGCCAGCCCACCCAGGAGGGGGTCCAGAGACTCCTCAGCATCCTGGGGTTTGTCAGGATCATGATGCAGGCCGTGCTTCCCCACGAACATCTCTGCTGGCTTCTTTACAATGGTACAGTAATACAGGAGCAATTACAGTGGTATAAGCAGGATATTGGCTGAATCAATGATGTCTGAAGTTGTCAGTTGTGGTTCAGTGTTGTCTCTCTCTCTCTCTCTCTCTCTCTCTCTCTCTCTCTCTCTCTCTCTCTCTCTCTCTCTCTCTCTCTCTCTCTCTCCAGGTTCACTCTATATCTACAACATCTGTAGATACCTGATGTCCATGAGCCGCGCTGCACAGGTGCACAGTCTAACAATTACATTTATTTCCATGGTGCATGTGATTGTTGGTAAATGCGTCTGTTGTCCCTTCCTCCCCCCCAGGCTATGGAGTTCCTGCTGTGGGCCTGTATCTGTCTGGAGACCTCCATCCCACTGACGACTGCCAGGTTCCTGGCCTGGAGGGCCACTCTGTACTGTGCTGTGTGCCAGTGCTACTACGACAGCCAAGCCCATGTTCAGGCAGAGGTGTTTGCACGGCGAGCCCTGGGTAAAGTCAGTGAGCTGGGCAAGCTGGAAGAGATGAGTGGTCTACCCTCTACCACTGAGACTCAGAGAGCATACAAAGTGGCCACCATTAAGGTATGGGACAGGTTGATTCAAAACATTGAAAGTTTTGTCCAGTGTCTATCTACATACAGGTCCTAAGTAGGGATGTGACAAATGGAAACAATTTCTTAACGTTTCATCTTGACCTCATGGCCTTAATAGCAAAGACACACATAAACTATGCCATGAAGACCAGATAAACAGGATTCAATAAAATGACTAGTACAACAGGCATGAATTACTAGCATATACAGTGCATTCGGAAAGTATTCAGACCCTTGCCTTTTTCCAAATTTTGTTACGTTACAGCCTTATTCTAAAATTGATTAAATAAAACATTTTCCTCATCAATCTACACACAATACCCCACAATGACAAAGCAAAAACATGTTTGTAGAAATTTTTGCAAATGTATTACAAATAGAAAATGGAAATATAATATTTGCATAATTATTCAGACCCTTTACTCAGTATTTTGTTGAAGCACCTTTGGCAGTGATTACAGCCTCGAGTCTTCTTGGGTATGACGCTACAAGCTTGGCACACCTGTATTTGGGGAGTTTCTCCCATTCTTCTCTGCAGATCCTCTCAAGCCCTGTCAGGTTGGATGGGGAGCGTCGCTGCATAGCTATTTTCAGGTCTCCAGAGATGTTAGAATGGGTTCAAGTCCGGGCTCTGGCTGGGCCACTCAAGGACATTCAGAGACTTGTCCCGAAGCCACTCCTGTGTTGTCTTGGCTGTGTGCTTAGGGTTGTTGTCCGTTTGGAAAGTGAACCTACGCCCCAGTCAGGTCCTGAGCGCTCTGGAGCAGGTTTTCATCAAGGATCTCTCTGTACTTTGTTCCTGACTAGTCTCCCAGTCCCTGCCGCTGGAAAATAAATAACAGAAATACCTTATTTACATAAGTATTCAGACCCTTTGCTCTAAGAGTGGCACAGCAGTCTAAGGCACTGCATCTCAGTGCTTGAGGTGTCACTACAGACCCCCTGGTTCGATTCCAGGCTGTATCACAACCGGCCGTAATTGGGAGTCCCATAGGGCGGCACACAATTGGCCCAGCGTCGTCCGGGTTTGGCCGGTGTAGGCCGTCATTGTAAATAAGAATTTGTTCTTAACTGACTTGCCTAGTTAAATAAAGGTTAAATAAAAATAAAATAAAAAAGACCTGAAATTGAGCTCAGGTGCATCCTGTTTCCATTGATCATCCTTGAGATGTTTCTACAAGTTGATTGGAGTCCACCTGTGGTACATTACATTGATTGGACATGATTTGGATAGGCACACACCTGTCTATATAAGGTCCCATAGTTGACAGTGCATGTCAGAGCAAAGACCAAGCAATGAGGTTGAAGGAATTGTCCGTAGAGCTCCGAGACAGGATTGTGTCGAGGTACAGATCTGGGGAAGGGTACCAAAAATGTCTGCAGCATTGAAGGTCCCCAAGAACACAGTGGCCGCCATCATTCTTAAATGGAAGAAGTTTGGAACCACAAAGACTCTTCCTAGAGCTGGCCGGCCGGCCAAACTGAGCAATCAAGGGAGAAGGACCTTGGTCAGGGAGGTGGCCAAGAACCCGATGGTCACTCTGACAGAGCTCCAGAGTTCCTCTGTGGAGATTGCAGAACCTTCTAGAAGGACAACCATCTCTGCAGCACTCCACCAATCAGGCCTTTATGGTAGAGTGGCCAGACGGAAGCCCCTCTTCAGAAAAAGGCACATGACAGCCCGCTTGGAATTTGCCTAAAGGGACCTTAAGGAGTCTTAGACCATGAGAAACAAGATTCTCTGGTCTGATGAAACCAAGATTGAACTCCTTGGCCTGAATGCCAAGCGTCACATCTGGAGGAACCCTGGCACCATACCATGGGTGAAGCATGGTGGTGGCAGCATCATGCTGTGGGGATGTTTTTCAGCGGCAGGGACTGGGAAACTAGTCAGGATCGAGGGAAAGATGAACGGAGCAAAATACAGAGAGATCCTTGATGAAAACCTGCTCCAGAGCGCTCAGGACCTCAGACTGGGGTGGAGGTTCACCTTCCAACAGAAAAACGACCCTAAGCACACAGCCAAGACAACGCAGGAGTGGCTTCGGGACAAGTCTCTGAATGTCCTTGAGTGGTCCAGCCAGAGCCCGGACTTGAACCCGATCGAACATCTCTGGAAAGACCTGAAATAGCTGTGCAGCGACGCTCCCCATCCAACCTAACGTCATAACCAAGAAGACTCGAGGCTGTAATCGCTGCCAAAGGTGCTTCAACAAAGTACTGAGTAAAGGGTCTGAATGCTTATATAAATTTGATATTTCATATTATATGTCTAAAAACCTGTTTTTGCTTTGTCATTATGCGGTATTGTGTGTAGATTGATGAGGGGAAAAAATCAATTTAATCCATTTAAGAATAAGGCTGTTTTAGAATAAGTCAAGGGGTCTGAATACTTTCCGAATGCACTGGCCTATAACCACATGAATGTTCTTTTATTCTACTCATCTACAGCTATCTACAATGGTGTTTAAACGGTCGGTGTATGAACCCAGGAGGAAACCTAAAGGCCTCTTCAGATCCAAGCAGAAGAGTAACCTCAAGGAGATTCAGAGCGTAAGCACTGCAATTGTATCAATCCCCCAAAATCCTGCTTTATCCAGGTATTGTGAAAACAGCCTAGTACTCCAATTCTGACTCATGTATTTCTCTCTCTCTCTCAATTCAGTGGTGCTTTATTGGCATGGGAAAAATATATGTTTACATTGCCAATGCAGGTGAAATACAGAATAAACAAAACTGAGAAGAAACAAATGTAGCAACATCAACAAAAAACGATTTGAGATTAACAGTAAACATTCCACTCAAAAAGGTTTAAAAAAGATAAAGACATTTCCAGTGTTATATTATGAACTATGTACAGTGTTTTAGCAATTTGCAAATAGTTGTAGTACGAATAGGGGGGGGGAAGATAAATAAACAGATACAGTGCATTCGGAAAGTAGTCAGACCTCTTGACTTTTTCCACATTTTGTTATGTTACAGCCTTATTCTAAAATTGATTAAATTGTTTTTTTCCCTCATCAATCTACACACAACAGCCTCGAGTCTTCTTGGGTATGACGCTACAAGATGGCACACCTGTATTTGGGGAGTTTCTCCCATTCTTCTCAGCAGATCCTCTCAAGCTCTGTCAGGTTGGATGGGGAGCGTCGCTGCACAGCTATTTTCAGGTCTCTCCAGTGATGTTCAATCCAATTGAAGTCCGGGCTCTGGCTGGGCCACTCAAGGACATTCAGAGACTTGTCCCGAAGCCGCTCCTGTGTTGTCTTGGCTGTGTGCTTAGGGTCATTGTACAGTTGGAAGATGAACCTTCGCCCCAGTCTGAGGTCCAGAGCGCTATGGAGCAGGTTTTCATCAAGGATCTCTCTGTACTTTGCTCCATTCATCTTTCCCTTGATCCTGACAAGTTTCCCAGAGCCTGCCACTGAAAAACATCCCCACAGCATGATGCTGCCACCACCATACTTCACCGTAGGGATTGTGCCAGGTTTCCTCCAGATGTGACGCTTGGTATTCAGGCCAAAGAGTTCACTCTTGGTTTCATCAGACCAGAGAATCGTGTTTCTCATGGTCTGAGAGTCCTTTAGGTGCCTTTTGGCAAACTCCAAGTGGGCTGTCATGTGCCTTTTACTGAGGAGTAGCTTCCGTCTGGCCACTCTACCATAAAGGTCTGATTGGTGGTATGCTGCAGAGATGGTTGTCCTTCTGGAAGGTTCTCCCATCTCCACAGAGGAACTCAGGAGATCTGTCAGAGTGACCATCGGGTTCTTGGTCACCTCCCTGACCAAGGCTCTTCTCCCTCGATTGCTCAGTTTGGCCGGGTGGCCAGCTCTAGGAAGAGTCTTTGTGGTTCCAAACTTCTTCCATTTAAGAATGCTGGAGGCCACTGTGTTCTTGGGGCCTTCAATGATGCAAAAATGTTTTGTACCCATCCCCAGATCTGTGCCTCGACACAATCCTGTCTTTGAGCTCGACGGACAATTCCTTCGACCTCATGGCTTGGTTTTTGCTCTGACATGCACACCTTATATAGACAGATGTGTGCTTTTCCAAATCATGTCCAATCAAGTTGTAGAAACATCTCAAGGATGATCAATGGAAACAGGATGCACCTCAGCTCAAATTCGAGTCTCATAGCAAAGGGTCTGAATATTTATGTAAATAAGGTATTTCTATTTTTAAATTTGCAAACACAGCTTTGTCATTATGGGATATTGTGTGTAGATTGACGAGGACAATTTTTTATTTAATCCATTTTAAAACAAGGCTGTAACGTAACAATGTGGAAAAAGGGAAGGGGTCTGAATGCTTTCCCAATGCACTGTAAGTATATGTGCCATTTACAATGTTGTTTGTGCGCCACTGGTTGCCCTTTTCTCATGGCAATGGGACACAAATCTTTCTGCTGTGATTGCACGTTGTGGTATTTCACCTAACATTTATTTTTCAATGTTGGATTTGTTTTCAAATTCTTTGTGGGTCTGTGTGATATGTGGGAAATATGTGTCTCTAAAGTGGTCATACATTTGGCAGGAGGTTAGGAAGTGCAGCTCTGTTTCCACCTCATTTGTGGACAGTGGGCACATATCCTGCCTTCTCTTGAGAGCCAGGTCTGCCTATGGTGACCTCTTAATAGGAAGGCTATGCTCACTGAGTCTTTACATAGTCAAGGATTTTCATAATTTTGGGTCAGTCACAGTGCTCAGGTATTCTGCCACTGTGTACTTCTGTGGCGGTCGGTGCCATTTAAGATGAGGGAGAATGAATATTTTTTTTATGAACATGGCCTTATTTCTATTACAGATTTTTGGAAGACCCATTATGAGGTTGCTACAACCTAGCCTATTAATGACAGTTTACAACGTAGGTGCACAGGTCGAGATACATTTTTAGTACCTAAGCATTTGACAACAATTTTGGGGTCTTTATACACACACAGTGGTGTGGGACTCTGAGTAAGCACAGTACCGGTGTTTACTGACTACGGTAGCCGTAATGCTGCAAGCGGTGCGGCTTTGTAGTTTACCAGTCGTACTGAAACATTTCATTATTATTAAATCGTTTTTTTGGTTTTTCATACTGAAACATTTTGACAGAGCGCCTTGAGCGCCGTGTGCAACCAGTATGGATCAACCAATTGATCCATATAAGGCGCTCCGGATTATAAGGCGCACTGTCGTTTATTGAGAAAATTAAAGGCTTTTAAGTGTGCCTTATAGTGCGGAAAATACGGTAATCAAGGTGACAGACAGTGACACATTCAAAACCACCTTGCACACTCTTGCCTGCATATAGCTGATCTAGGGTGTAATCATTAGTCCAACAGTTGCAAACAAGAGTTTCTATTAGACAAATGTTTATCCCCGTTTCGCTCCGCTTGCTTCTGTTTAAGAAACGTTTTTCAACAGAATCGGCGCAATGAATACACCCCTGATCACACGCAAACACAGTTCACTTTCATAACAGACACAAACAGCTCATTGTATATATGTGACCGACCACCTCGATTGGGTCTTATGTAGCAACATTCGAAATTGTGTTTTTTACATTGGATAAAAGTAGAGACTCAGAGCTATATAATGGTATATCATACACAGTTGAGGAACAATGGGAAAATAATTCTGCTTTGAAAGTTGATAGTTGAGGCCATGTGCTGAACAGGGTGAGTAAGGTAGCGTAGTAAACAACCAAAGATTTAAAGACTAAAAGTGGTGAAAGTAGTAGCCTACAATAAGGAAAAACTCCAGGTTAAAATAAACTTGATCTAGTCCTTGGCCTATATCCTAATCTGACGTTGGTGCAGGTCATGTTCTTCACATTACCATCTCTGGTAAACACACACTATATCAAATAAAATCCAAATGTATTTGTCACATGCACAGGATACAGAAGGTGTAAACGGTACCGTGAAATGGTTACTTGCATAGTAGCAATATCAAAAATAGAATGTGTCCAGATAAAAATATTATATAATTATTAGATGATGCTTACCCAGTCACGCTTTTCTAAATTGATGGGTCGTGAAATAAATGCTATAACCACCCCCCAGCCACATCTAGCTAAGTGGATGGGTCACTATTGTCTAGACATATGCACATGGTAGCAAGGTTTATGTACACATACTGAGCGGCTCATGTTATAGACAGAAGCGTGCTACATGGCAGACCAATCCGAACTAATCTTTCAGCATGTCCAGCCCATCCATTATCTCAGCTAATCATGGCTAGCAGGAAGGTTCATGTCTTTTTCCGTGGCTAAACCAACTAGGCTCGTAATTTAACAATTTTATTTGTATTTACAGATGTCATACAAGTTTGTTTCTTCAGGCACATGAAAGTTCACATGTTCCAGAAGGAATTTCTGCCCAAAATTGCATTTTGACTCTTAAATCCCTCTCCTGTGAAGTAGAGACGTGCGACAGACGCCTAGCTTCTTGAAACGGGTCACCTATAATTCCTTCTCGCATATATCTATGCCCTCTCCTCCTTTCACCTTTTCCCTTCGCTTGTGGACTTCAGTGCACACCACATCAGCTGTCTGTGACCAGCCGAAAAAACCTTTCCAAGCCAAACCTTCATATCATAACTGCTAACCGCTTCACACAGCCTACATTGTTGTCACGTCACAGTCAACATAGCTACTATAACTAACGCGTTAGTTAACCTGCCTACAATGATGCAGTACAGTGTAGTCAGCAGCAATCCAATTTAAGCAGTTACACCGGCGGCCCCGGTGGAAATAAATTAATAAAACCATAAGCTTTCCTTGACTTGGAAGAGTTCCAGTGTTGGATAGCCATAGCCAGCTAGCTAACATAGTATCCCTCAGTTCATGCTGCAAGAGTTCTGATAGGTTGGAGGACGTCCTCCGGAAGTTGTCATAATTACTGTGTAAGTCTATGGAAGGGGGTGAGAACCAAGCGCCTCCTAGGCTTTGTATTGAATTCAATGTATTCAGAGGAGGACAGAAGCTAGCTGTCCTCCAGCTACACCATGGTGCTACTCTACAGAGTGCTGTTGAAGCTACTGTAGACCTTCATTGCAAAACAGTGTGTTTTAATCAATTATTTGGTGACGTGAATATATTTAGTATAGTTTTATCTAAAAAGGATAACTTTTTTAACGTTTCACTATTTACATTTTTCTGAATTCACTGAGGAGGATGGTCCTCCCCTTCCTCCTCTGAGGAGCCTCCACTGGTGTACTCTCTGTTTAGGGCCTGATAGCATTCCAATTTGCTCCGTTTTTTGGTTGATTCTTTCCAGTGTGTCAAATAGTTATCTTTTTGCATTCTTTGCTTTGTGTTGCTGTCCTGGGGCTCTTTGGGGTCTGTTTGTGTTTGTGGTGGAATGTTTGGGCATCGCTTCCTTTTAGGTGGTTGTAGAAGTTAACAGCTCTTTTCTGGATTTTGATAACTATAGTCATAACCTATCTCGCTCGCTCGCTCTCTCTCGCTCTCTCTCGCTCTCTCTATCTCTCTTGCTCTCTCTATCTATCTCCCCCCTTCCCTCTCTCACTCCCCCTTCCCTCCCTCCTCTCTAGATGCCGTGGCCTCGAACCCCTACAGAGCGAGTGTTGATGGAGCTGTTTGAGGGGAACGCTGCCCAGTTCCTGGCGATAGTGGAAGCTCTGTGGGACACCTCCCGCCGCCCACTACAGACAGGCATGCCTGAGGAGCCAGAGATACAGGAGGTCTCCCTGGAACTCATGTCTGCAGGCATCAGTATACTGTCTGGTTAGTACTGTACTTACAGTGCATTCAGAAAGTATTCAGACCCATTGACTTCCACATTTTGTTACATTACAGCCTTATTCTAAAATTGATGAAATAAAATGTTTTCCTCATCAATCTACACACAATACCCCATAATGACAAAGCGAAAACAGGTTTATAGACATTTTTGCAAATAAAAATTAAATAAAAAACAGAAATACCTTTGCTATGAGACTCGAAATTAAATCAGGTGCATCCTGTTTCCATTGATCATCCTTGAGATGTTTCTACAACTTGATTGGAGTCCACATGTGGTAAATTCAATTGATTGGACATGATTTTGAAAGGCACACACCTGTCTATATAAGGTCCCACAGTTGACAGTGTATGTCAGAGCAAAAATCAAGCCCTGAGGTCGAAGGAATTGTCCGTGGAGCTCCGAGGCAGGGTTGTGTCGAGGCACAGATCTGGGGTAGGGTACCAAAAATGTTTTGCAGCATTGAATGCCCCAAAGAACACAGTGGCCTCCATCATTCTTAAATGGAAGAAGTTTGGAACCACCAAGTGTCACACCCTGGTGCTGGGACTCTTTGCTGATTGCCATTCTCCAGCAGATCTCTTAGGATGATTTGCTCCTCAACAGGACTTCAAGTAAATTTGTTGGTTAATCGGGAGGAGCCACTCCGGCCTTAATGCTTTGAGCCCTGTGACGTGGGTTGTTGGGATATTGTCATGCTGAAAGACCCAGCCACGTGTTCATCTTCAATGCCCTGTGATGGAAGGAGGTTTTCTCAAAATTCACGTACATGCCCCATTATTCTTCCTTACACGGATCAGCGTATGGTCCCTTTGCAGAAAACAGCCCCAAGCATGATGTTTCCCCCATGCTTCACAGTAGGTATGGTGTTCTTGGATGCAATCAGCATTTGTGTCTCCAACCACGACAAGTTAGTTTTTACCAAAAAGTTTATTTTGGTTTATCTGACATAGACATTCAATCCTCTTCTGATCATCAAATGCACTTAGCAAACTTCAGCGGGCCTGGACATGTACTGGCTAAGACGGGGGACACGTCTGGCACTACAGGATTTGAGTCCCTGGCGGCGTAGTGTGTTACTGATGGTAGGCTTTGTTACTTTGGTCCCAGCTCTCTGCAGGTCATTCATTAGGTCCCCCCGTGTGGTTCTGGGATTTTTGCTCACCGTTCTTGTGATCATTTTGACCCCACGGGGTGAGATCTTGCGTGGAGCCCCAGATCGAGGGAGATTATCAGTGGTCTTGTATGTCTTCCATTTCTAATAATTGCTCCCACAGTTGATTTCTTCAAACCAAGCTGCTTACCTATTGCAGATTCAGTCTTCCCAGCCTGGTGCAGGTCTACAATTTTGTTTCTGGTGTCCTTTGACAGCTCTTTGGTCTTGGCCATAGTGGAGTTTGGAGTGTGACTGTTTGAGGTTGTGGACAGGTGTCTTTTATACTGATAACAAGTTCAAACAGGTGCCATTAATACAGGTAACGAGTGTAGGACAGAGGAGCCTCTTAAAGAAGAAGTTACTGATCTGTGAGAGCCAGAAATCTTGCTTGTTTGTAGGTGACCAAATACTTATTTTCCACCATAATTTGCAAATAAATTCATAAAAAATCCTACAATGTGATTTTCTGGATATTTTTTTCTCATAGTTGACGTGTACCTATGATGAAAATTACAGGCCTCTCTCATCTTTTTAAGTGGGAGAACTTGCACAATTGGTGGCTGACTAAATGCTTTTTTCCCCCACTGTATCTATGCCCTCTCCTCCTTTCACCTTTTCCCTTCGCTTGTGGACTTCAGTGCACAACACATCAGCTGCCTGTGACCAGCCCAAAAAACCTTTCCAAGCCAAACCTTCATATCATGACTGCTAACCGCTTCACACAGCCTACATCGTTGTCACGTCACAGTCAACATAGCTACTATAACTAACGCGTTAGTTAACCCGCTACAATGATGCAGTACAGTGTAGTCAGCAGCAATCAATTTAGCAGTTACACCGGCGGCCCCGGTGGAAATAAATTAATAAAACCATAAGCTTTCCTTGACTTGGAAGAGTTCCAGTGTTGGATAGCCATAGCCAGCTAGCTAACATAGCATCCCTCAGTTCATGCTGCAAGAGTTCTGATAGGTTGGAGGACGTCCTCCGGAAGTTGTCATAATAACTGGAAGGGGGTGAGAACCAAGAGCCTCCTAGGCTTTGTATTGAATTCAATGTATTCAGAGGAGGACAGAAGCTAGCTATCCTCCAGCTACACCATGGTGCTACTCTACAGAGTGCTGTTGAAGCTACTGTAGACCTTGATTGCAAAACAGTGTGTTTTAATCAATTATTTGGTGACGTGAATATATTTAGTATAGTTTTATCTAAAAAGGATAACTTTTTTAACGCTTCACTATTTACATTTTTCTGAATTCACTGAGGAGGATGGTCCTCCCCTTCCTCCTCTGAGGAGCCTCCACTGGTGTACTCTATGTTTAGGGCCAGATAGCATTCCAATTTGCTCAGTTCTTTGGTTGATTCTTTCCAGTGTTTCAAATAGTTATCTTTTTGCATTTTTTGCTTTGTGTTGCTGTCCTGGGGCTCTTTGGGGTCTGTTTGTGTTTGTGGTGGAATGTTTGGGCTTCGCTTCCTTTTAGGTGGTTGTAGAAGTTAACAGCTCTTTTCTGGATTTTGATAACTATAGTCATAATCTATCTATCTCGCTCGCTCTCTCTCGCTCTCTCTATCTCTCTTGCTCTCTCTATCTATCTCCCCCCTTCCCTCTCTCACTCCCCCTTCCCTCCCTCCTCTCTAGATGCCGTGGCCTCGAACTCCTACAGAGCGAGTGTTGATGGAGCTGTTTGAGGGGAACGCTGCCCAGTTCCTGGCGATAGTGGAAGCTCTGTGGGACACCTCCCGCCGCCCACTACAGACAGGCATGCCTGAGGAGCCAGAGATACAGGAGGTCTCCCTGGAACTCATGTCTGCAGGCATCAGTATACTGTCTGGTTAGTACTGTACTTACAGTGCATTCAGAAAGTATTCAGACCCATTGACTTCCACATTTTGTTACATTACAGCCTTATTCTAAAATTGATGAAATACATTTTTTTCCTTATCAATCTACACACAATACCCCATAATGACAAAGCGAAAACAGGTTTATAGACATTTTTGCAAATAAAAATAAAATAAAAAACAGAAATACCTTTGGTATGAGACTCGAAATTAAATCAGGTGCATCCTGTTTCCATTGATCATCCTTGAGATCTTTCTACAACTTGATTGGTTGGAGTCCACCTGTGGTAAATTCAATTGATTGGACATGATTTTGAAAGGCACACGCCTGTCTATATAAGGTCCCACAGTTGACAGTGCATGTCAGAGCAAAAATCAAGCCCTGAGGTCGAAGGAATTGTCCGTGGAGCTCCGAGGCAGGGTTGTGTCGAGGCACAGATCTGGGGTAGGGTACCAAAAATGTTTTGCAGCATTGAATGCCCCGAAGAACACAGTGGCCTCCATCATTCTTAAATGGAAGAAGTTTGGAACCACCAAGACTCTTCCTAGAGCTGGCCTCCCAGCCAAACTGAGCAACCGGTGGAGAAGGGCCTTGGTCAGGGAGGTGACCAAGAACCCGATGGTCACTCTGACAGAGCTCCAGAGTTCCTCTATGGAGATGGGAGAACCTTCCAGAAGGACAACCATCTCTGCAGCACTCCACCAATCAGGCCTTTATGGTAGAGTGGCCAGACAGAAGCCACTCCTCAGTAAAAGGTACATGACAGCCCACTTGGAGTTTGCCAAAAGGCACCTAAAGACTCTCAGACCATGAGAAAGAAGATTCTCTGGTCTGATGAAACCAAGATTGAACTCTTTGGCCTGAATGCCAAGCGTCACGTCTGGAGGCAACCTGGCACCATCCCTACGGTGAAGTATGGTGGTGGCAGCATCATGCTGTGGGGATGTTTTTTAGTGGCAAGGACTGGGAGACTAGTCAGGATCGAGGGAAAGAGAGATCCTTGATGAAAACCTGCTCCAGAGCACTCAGGACCTCAGACTGGGGCGAAGGTTCACCTTCCATCAGGACAATGACCCTAAGCACACAGCCAAGACAATGCAGGAGTGGCTTCGGGACAAGTCTCTGAATGACCTTGAGTGGCCCAGCCAGAACCCGAACTTGAACCCGATTGAACATCTCTGAAGAGACCTGAAAATATCTGTGCAGTGACACTCCCCATCCAACCTGACAGAGCTTGAAAGAATCTGCAGAGAAGAATGGGAGAAACTCCCCAAATACAGGTGTGCCAAGTTTGTAGCGTCATACCCAAGAAGACTCGAGGCTGTTGTGTGTAGATTGATGAGGGAAAAAAACAATTGAATCAATTTTAGAATAAGGCTGTAACTTAACAAAATGTGGAAAAAGTCAAGGGGTCTGAATACTTTCCGAATGCACTGTATCTGTTTATTTATCTTCCCCCACTATTCGTACTACAACTATTTGCTATAATCGCTGCCAAAGGTGCTTCAACAAAGTAAAGGGTTTGAATACTTTTGTAAATGTGATATTTCCGTTTTTTATTTTTAATACATTGCTTTTTAATACATTGCTTTGTCATTATTGGGTATTGTGTGTAGATTGATGAGGGGGGAAAAGTATTTAATCATTTTTAGAATAAGGCTGTAACGTAACAAAAAAAGGGGTCTGAATACTTTCCAAATGCACTTTATATAACCATTATCCAGGTTAGTCTCATTGAGATTAAGAATCTATTTTGCAAGAGAGATCCTTTAGCCCACACACTCATAGGCTAGCTTCATTAGACTACGCATCATTAGTCTCACAGTGGCTGTTGGACAAGACTACAATTGATTGGACTTATTGAGATTTGATGCTGTTTCCCTTCATTGTATGTTTAGGAATTGGAGGCTCCACTGAGCGAGCCAGGGATGACACTCTCCCCACCTGTTTAAATGCAGTGACAGCCAACGTTACTCTGATGGACATGGCTGCTGCTGGTGAGAACTTTGGAGTACTGTCTTTCCATATTAGCTAGTATTGCGCTGAAGGGGAAGTTTACCCTAAATCCAAAATTGCCCACTTTTCCTAATGTTACACTGTCTGTTGGTTTTTTAACAACAAACTATAACTAGATTTATTTTAGGCAAATCTTTAATTTCGACTATTGCTCATCCTAAACGTCATAATTTGTCACGACCGCCGAGTTTGGCATGTCTCCCAGACCTTTGATTCCCACAACGCATTGCGCCCAGATCCCTCCACCCCCTCGAGATATCGCCTAGTAATTTGAAGTACGCCCATCAAGCTTGTTTGTGTCTGAACAGGTAGCCAAACCCATGTCTTTTTGAGCAGCAGACAAAGTTGCTTCATCAATAAACAAATTACATTTATAAAGTTCACCAAATTATTATCTAACCCTGTGGTATTCTCAAGTGTACAACAAGGAAACAATTTAAAAAACGATTTAACTGTATTGAGCTATTGAACTTGTGATTAGGGTGATTGCGAAACAACACACTTCAGTTACTTATTTTTGTTATTATTCCCACAGCAACTCCTACAGGTTTTATGCAAAATATACAATTTTAATTTCATAATGTGCAGAGAGGATTAACTTGAGTTGCTTACATTTACATCTTTGATACTCATCATACTTTTTGAAATATAATCAGTTAAATATTCAAATTTTAACATGGAGGTCTATGGTGACCAAAATATGCAATTTTTGGAACACTGGTGTTCGTACACCTTTTACCACCTTAGAGCTGATGTCTGCACCCTCGCGGAAATACAATTAGCATAATAACAAAATCCCCATCAAAATCGGATCTGTTTAAGCTATAGATGTTTTTTTTGCATGGGCTGTGTCTCAATCCACCGCATACGCCAATGGCGGCCTTCCACATCTACAGAATCCAATAGCTAAATGATCCTTGCATATCACCATCTTAAAACAACTCCATATGTTATCATTCCCCCGCCTTAGACTCTTAAGGATTAAGATACACACTCCAAACCAACTTTAAAATGAGCAGAACACTCCAAATGACAAACTACTGAACCACACAACTGCTGACCACAACTGCTGACCACAACTTCTGACCACAACCACACAACTACTGAACCACACAACTACTGACCACAACCACACAACCACACAACTACTGACCACAACCACACAACTACTGACCACAACCATAACTACTGACCACACCCACACAACTGCTGACCACAACATTTTACATTTACATTTTAGTCATTTAGCAGACGCTCTTATCCAGAGCGACTTACAGTTAGTGAGTGCATACATTTTCATACATACACAACCACACAACTACAGACCACAACCACTACTGACAACAACCACTGACCACACAAGTACTAACCACAACTACTGACCATAACCACACAACTGCTGACCACAATAACTACTGACCACAAAAACCACTAACCACAACTGCTGACCACAACTACTGACCACTGCTGACCCCAACTATTGACCAAAACTACTAACCACAACTGCTGACCACAACTACTGACCCCAACTATTGACCAAAACTACTAACCACAACTGCTGACCAGAACTACTGACCACTGCTGACTCCAACAACTGACCACAACTACCGACCACACAACTACTGACCACAACTACTGACCACAACAAGACAACTACTTACCACACAACTACTTACCACAGCCACACAACTACTTTCCACAACCACACAGCTACTGACCACGACTACTGACCACAACCACACAACTACTGACCACAACCACACAACTACTGAACACACTACTACTGACCACAACCACACAACTACTGACCACAACCACACAACTACTGAACACACTACTACTGACCACATCTACTGACCACAACCACACAACTACTGACCACAACCACACAACTACTGAACACACTACTATTGACCACAACCACACAACTACTGACCACAACCACACAACTACTGAACACACTACTACTGACCACAACCACACAACTACTGACCACAACTACAAAACCACACAACTAATGACAACAACCACATAACAACTGACAACAACTACTGACCATACAACTACTGAACCACATACCTACTGACCACAACCCCACAACTACTGACCACACAACTGCTGAACACAGCTACTGACCACAACCACAAAACTACTGACCAAAACTACTTACCACACAACTATGGAACCACACAACCACTGATCACAGCCACACAATTACTGACCACAACTACTGACCACAAGCACACAACTACTGACCACAAGCACACAACTACTGATCACAACCACACAACTACTGACCATAACCACACAAGTACAACAACTACTGGTCACAGCCATACAACTACTGACCAAACAACTACTGACCACAACAAGAAAACGACTTACCACAACAAGACAACTACTGACCCCACAACTACTGACCATAATCCCACAACTACTGACCACAACTACTCACCACAACTACTGAACACAACCATGTACCTGCTGACAACAACCACACAACTACTGACAACACACCTACTGACCACAACCACAAAACTACTGACCACACAACTACTGACTTCAAGTACTGACCACAACCACACATCTACTGACCACACAACTACTGACCACTACGACTGACTACAACCACACAACTACTGACCACAACAATACAAGTACTGACCACAACCACACAACTACTGACCACAACTACTGACCACAACAATACAAGTACTGACCACAACCACACAACTACTGACCACAACCACACAACTACAACAACTACCAGTCACAGCCAGGATACACACACACGGTATAGGTTATTGATTAGAAACTGAATATGATGATGACAGGTCCCTAGCGGACTAACACAATATGACACTTGTTACAAAAGATGGAGAGTTAAAGAAAGAGAGATAGAGCGAGAGAGGAAGAGAAGCAACACTTGGAACTACAATTCTGAGTGGCGCAGTGGTCTAAGGCACTGCATCGCAGTGCTAACTGTGCCACTAGAGATCCTGGTTCGAATCCAGGCTCTGTCGCAGCCGGCTGCGACCGGGACAATTGGCCCAGCGTCGTCCAGGGTAGGGGAGGGAATGGCCGGCAGGGATGTAGCTCAGTTGATAGAGCATGGCGTTTGTAACGCCAGGGTTGTGGGTTCGATTCCCACGGGGGGCCAGTATAAAAAAAAAAGATATGTATTCACTAACTGTAAGTCGCTCTGGATAAGAGCGTCTGCTAAATGACTAAAATGTAAATGATACATTTGGGAATTACTCTCATAGTAATCCTAATACCTTGCTCCGAACTGCCAGCCCTTTTCGGTAAGAAGTAATGCATATATTTACGTGTTGAAAGTCTTCGTCGTGTATCTCCGTTGGATCCAGGCCTTCGTGGAAAGGGTTCGATTGGGCCTTTTCCTTCGGATGGGCCTTCTACTTTGTTCTCAGGTGTAAGGCTTTGATTGTCCACAAGAGGACACAATGTCCTTCTTCTTAGTTGTCTGTTTACTTTCACTCGTTCTGGAAGTGGTCTTCTGAGGACGGCTAATGCCTTTATACCATTTTTAATGACATCACTAAATATACATTAATTTTCCATATTCCATTTCTCATCATTCCCAACATTCGGATGTTGAAATATATTGTCCCAGTGTTCATTGTTGGATGTTGAAGTCTTTGGGTGGCAAAACCTTCGGTAACAAAGGGAGAGTTATTTCCCAATACTGAGGAGCAAAGGGAGAGATTCCCCTCCTGCCTAATTTACGACCGAGTGTTAAGGTGTCAAAACAGTAGCTAAGATGGGGATAAGTCTGTCCATTATAAAGTGCTGCTCTGCCTTCTAAACAACACTATCAACAAGGAAGGTCCTCCAGGCCCTAGTTTTGTTGCACCTGGACTACTCTCCAGTCATGTGGTCAGGTGTCACAAAGAGTGACTTACCACAACTACTGACCACAACCACACAACTACTCACCATAACTATTGACCACAACTACTGACCACAACCACACTACTGACCACAACCACACCACTACTGATCACACAACTATTGAACCACACAACTGCTGACCACAACCACACAACTACTGACCACAACCATACAACTACTGACCACAACCACACAACTACTGACCACAACTACTGACCACAACTACTCACCACATCCATACTGTAGGGCCCAAATAACCTGCAAAACAACCACACAACTACTGACCGCAACTACTGACCACAACAATGACTGACCACAAACTACTGACCACAAAAACTACTAACCACAAGAACTGACCACAACTACTGACCACAATATCTACTGACCACAGCTAATGACCAGAATTACTGACAACAAATACGGAAAACAACTACTGACCACAATCACACAACTACTGACTACAACTACTGACCACAAATACTGACAACAACTACTGATCACAGCCACACAACTACTGACCACACAACTACTGACCATAATACTACTGAACCACACAACTACTGACCACAACCACACAACTACTGAACACACAACTACTGTCTTATGTCTCTAGTGCTTTTAACACAAACTAACTAGCTAGCATGCCATCCTTCAATCTAATCTAGAAATATAGCTAGATTACTAGCAACAAAAAATAATGTTTTCACTTTGGGACAATGTAAACACACACCATTTCACCCGGTGCTGTCTAAACACTCAAGACTCCATGGCTTAATGGTAATTACAATGTATTCCACCCCTACACACCAAGGTTCAAATCCTGCCGGCGTTCCAATTCATCCCAAATCTGTTAGATGGGGTTGAGGTCAGGACTCTGTGCAGGCCAGTTAAGTTCTTCCACACCGTTCTCGACAAACCATTTCTGTATGGACCTTGCTTTATGCGCGGGGGCATTGTCTTGCTGAAACAGGAAAGGGCCTTCCCTAAACTGTTGCCACAAAGTCTTCTAGAATGTCATTGAATGCTGTAGCGTTAAGATTTCCCTTCACTGGAACCAAGGGGCCTAGCCCGAACCATCAAAAACAGCCCCAGACCATTATTCCT